TAATAAGAAAAAATTATATTTGAAACAGATTTGCTCAAAACCTGACATGCTAAATTAACTCTCATAACTGAATAAGGGTTAAGATCAACATGTGCCATAGTTAACTTTGGTATCAGTTTTAAACCTCTACTCAATTCATCATCAACAATTTTTTTAATATGAGTCCAACAAATTTCTTTTCCATTATTCCACAAAAATCTAGATTTTTTTCCATTTCCTAACAGAGAATTTATTTTATGAATAAAAAACTATTTCTTTAAAAAAATAATTTCAGATAAATGACAAAAAATTTGCTTACCAGAATTAAATATACAGTTCCTTAATGTCTTCATCAAATGGGGAGCATCTGCAAAAAACCAAATATATCTTTCGGGTGCATAAATGTTCACGGTGCGATACACTAAATCTTCATCAATACAGTTATCCATGTATTCATGCATTTTATAAAATTTTCGATTTGCAGACGCACCGTCAGAAACACATGCTACAACAGATAATTTACAAATAACTTCAAGAACTAATACTGCTTCCCAAAATGTTTTGAAAATCTGACTGGCATTTGTATCTTTAGTTGCAAAAAATGCTAAAGCATATTTCAAATCTGAAGATAACCCTCGAACATAATATACAAAAACATGTTTTGCTAACTCGTTCAAATCAGGAAAACTACAATAATTTAGATCTGGATCTCCAAGATCAACATATCCAATTAGGTCACCAGAATGTTTATCAAATACTAAATCAGATTGAATTTTAATTTCATCAAATGATAATGTAACAAATCTCTGATGATCTTTTAGCTTAGATGATGTTTTTATTAGTTCTTCTATAACTTTGGAGTTAAAACCAGCAGAAGGTTTAATTGCATTTTTGTAATCCCTTAAAGTTCTAGAACTAGGAAGGGTTAAAATACTAGATGATCTCAATTCATCATAAGCTGATGCAGATTTCATGCAAAGTGACAAACAAAATCTTATTATCATAGGATGATACTTGACAGCATTTGGATGACAACAGGCAGCTTTTTTTTGTTCATCCCAAAAAAGTTTCAAGAAAGGTGTAAGTTTTTCTGCATTTGATTCCATAACAGTTGCAATATCTTTTTTTAATTCTTCACCAATTACAATGCTTTTATTCAATATATCATTTTGCATATTGCACTGAGCAAACTCAAGTGGAACATTTAATTTTGTTTTTTCAAACTCGTATTTCAGAATAAAGTTTTCACAAGCTAAACATTGATTCTGTCCTTTAACACAAACAAAACAGTCAGATGATCTAAAATAAGTCTTTACTTCAGGTGGCGAACCATCAATAATATGATTAAAATTGGTTTTACATGACACTGTATGTAACAGCAAATCAGTAGAACTTATGTTTCTAATACCATCACATATATTATAAGACAAAAGTTCTTGCAGAAGCAAAGAAATTGTTATATTTTTTAGAGATCTTGAATGTAATTTATATAGTTCAGTGCAGACTGGTAAAGACCAACCAAAAACAATGCATGAATAGTCTAAACTTGTGTCAACAAACACTTCAAACTTTGATAATAAAAACGGATTTTCCATGTGCTTAAACAAAACTGTTTCATCAAAAATACTAATTTCCCACTCATTCAACTTTAACTTTTGAATACGCATTTTAAACTCTTCAAAAGTATTGTATACAGGCTTGTAGGCATTTTTATTTATTGTTGTTCTATCTTTAACTATATTTAAGTGTCTTCTTTCAGTTGGTTTAGTAGTTGGATGCGATTTAACAGGTAAATTTAAGGTAGGCACAACACCAAGTCTTAATGTTTTTCTTCCAGTCTCTAAAAAGAGACAACAGTACAGATAAGTTTTTTTACACAAGTGATTTAAACTCAATGATGTAAATGACTAATTGTCACTTTGACCATTGAGTTAAAAATAATTATATATATATATATATATATATATATATATATATATATATATATATATATATATATATATATATATATATATATATATATATATATATATATATATATATATATATATATATATATATATATATATATATATATATATATATATATATATATATATATATAATATATATATATATATATATATATATATATATATAATATATATATATATATATATATATATATAGTTGCACATTGCTTCATGGATCTATTTAATACCAAAACTAATACAAAAGTTGCCTTGGCTATTTGGTTTATAAATTAGACATAAGACTTGTCTAAATTATTTAACGAAGTGCACCAACGAGAAGGTAAGCCATAGGACTTTGCACTCCATTTCTAAAATGATAGACATTTTAACTATAATGATCATTATAATTACAATGCAATACCATTATATATTAATCATGTAAAATAATATAAAATATGACTTGCCATGAAAATGATGTACTCACTTGTAAATTCTATATCTTCTGGAGAAAAGTGTTTCTCACAAAAATAAACATTTCCTTTGGTTATTCTTTCTTTTAATAATCCATCTAATGGACGGTAAATAGCAAGAAAATCAATTAACTTTTTCCTCCAAATGGTATGATATTCATCTTTTCTTATAGATATTTGAAATAGTCCAATATCCTTGTGCTTATTTGTATCTGAGACTGTGCACTGTGGAAGACAGCAATTTCTACCTGGCATTACTAAGCAGTGATTGCTTTTTTTTACAAGTACGATTACTTTAGTTCTAATGTAGTTCTAAAAAGGACTGTTTAACTAAAATTTAAGTGAAAATTCCTTGAAATGTCTTTTAACATTCACTAACTGGAATTGCTTAAAATATTTTAGTTACATGTAGTTCTAAAAAGGACTGTTTAAATAAATTATAATTGAAGTTTCTTTGATATATCTTTTAAAATTCACTTCGACGGCTGATTTGTTTTGCAACTACATTGATCACGTGACCGAAAAAAAATAAAACAATAGCTTCCAGACCAGGGTATATTTCTATAGACTATGATTAAAGAAATGGGAAAGTTTGACCATGAGAAAAAGTGGATATGTTTTTTAGCAGTGCTAAATTTTTGTCATGCTTATTTTTATAGAAACATACATGCTGTTCGATGTGACTATAAGTTATAGACTATATAAGCTACAAACCCTGAACCCTATGACTATATAAGCTACAAACCCTGAACAGCATGTTTGTTTATAAGCATGGTGAAAATTTAGCGTTATTAAAAAATAGGCCAACTTTTTCTCATGATACAAATTATTGTAAGTATAATTATTATTTATAAGTAAAAGTATCATTTTTTATGTAATAGCATAACATAACAAATTATTTATTATTGTTTAAAATATTTTTCTAAAATGTTTAATAAGTAGAGTGAAACGGGGTAAAACTAACACTTATATTTATAATTATATTTTTTTTATATAATTAAATGATTTTTTTAAATAATTTTTGTTTAATTTTTGTTGAAAAAGATGTGCTCTATCCGAATATGTTAAAAAAAAAAAAATCTCTTAAAGTTTTTTAGTAAAATAAGTTTATTTGAAAAAAAAAGTGTTCAGTTTTACAATTATGATAAAACTGAACATGCCAAAGACTTTGGCAAAGTATTGATAAGTAATTACTATTTTTTTTTTTTTTTTAATTGATTTAGATCTGTATAAGAAGTTGTTAAAAGTAAGTTATAGCAAAGATTTGTACAGGAAATTGTTAGCTTTTTAAAATAAAAGATAAGTTTGAAAAATAGTACCATTCAGTTTTACCTGAAAATATGACTTTTCCAGTGATTCAGTTATAGCTGTTTTTAGAAAATAACAATTTTATTTCTGAAAAAAGATTCTTGATTGTAACTTTTACTACAAATACATCTTCTTACTTTAATGTTATTTCCTTTTTTTTCTCCAAGATTTTAATGACAGTATTAAAATTAAATTAAAAAAAATTAATACTCATGTTCAAACTTTTGAGTTTGCTACAAAAATTATTAATTGAAATTTTTTAATTTTTATGTCATTAGATAAAGCACAAAATTCTCTATAATTAATAACATTTTCATAAGTGTTCAATTTTCTCTGGTGTTCAGTTTTACCCTATTTTACTCTATCTTCTTTAGTAAAGAGGTTATTTACTAATTAAAAATTATATATAATTTACTGATTTTCTAGTCGTTATTTATTATTTATATTTATTCCTGCTACCAATGAGATAACATTGGTTGAATATTTTTAATATGTAAACTATTTGAAAATATATTACATATTAAATATATTGATTTTTAAATATGCAATGTAATACAATTGATTATATATATATATATATATATATATATATATATATATATATATATATATATATATATATATATATATATATATATATATATATATATATATATATATATATACACACACACATATATATATACATATATATGTATATATATACATATATAATATATATGTATATGTATACATATATATGTATATATATATATATACATATATATGTATATATATACATATATATGTATATATATACATATATAATATTAGGTACGTGAGTAAAAAATTCAAATTGTTGTAATATTCTACTGCTATATATCATTATAAAGAGGACCAATACAGTTTTTTAAAGGTGAAAAAATTATCAAAAACGAACAATCGGTTCAAAAGTTATGACAGTTTAAGTACCGATTTTTCGATATATGGAATTGTTGAAGAAACTGTGGTCAAAATTATGTTTTTCTTCACTTAAATTGTCATAACTTTATTCATTCTTATCGAAATACAAATACCTTGGTGTCAAAAGATAAGTGTAAGAGTGGGCTACAAATTTTTGTTAAACTCTAACCACCGGGTGTATCGGATGGACAGAGGGGGCACCAAACCATCACCTTACCCGTATGAAAACTAAACATTTTTTCTTGAAAAAAGACTTTTTTTTCACACAAAAGTCTTTTTTTCAAGACATAAGTATTTTAAATACACAAAAACATAGTTATAAAATTATATTTAACCACCAGAGTATATGAGAAGCGTATGTTAACGTTGGAGGTAGGTGTGGTGGTGATGGTTTGATACACCCTAGTATCAAAAAAGACTTGTTTTCATAAATATTTTTATCTTTACTAAAATGAATTCAATTAGTATACAATATAAAATTATGTTCTACAGGAATTTACGTGGTGGTACTATTACAAATTTAAGTCGTGTTTACATCGATGTCCCCCCCCCCCCAACCTAAAAAAAAAAAATTAAAAAAAATTAAAATGACACAACTACTGTTTCCTAAAGTCCCAAAACAAAGTTTTTTTCTGTAAAAAGGTTCTATAAATTAAAAGTTTTTTTCTGTTTAAAGGTTCTATAAATTAATACTGGACAACCACCAAACATTGAAGGTAAGTGTAAAACTCATGTTAAATGGTTGACCATGTTTTAACACACCCTAATATTGCAAAAAAATTTTAATTATGAAATATTTGATTGGTTATATAAAAACAACAACAAAGAAGTAAAAAATATATCTAACCCAGTAAAAGTCACATTTTTTTTTAAAAAAAGCATTTTTGATTAATTGGAGAATTTTTGGTTAAATATTCTCATTCAGAGTGACTTCTATTGTCAGTCAATAGTGGTAAAAAGGTAATCAAAACAAGGTATTTACCAACCTTAGTTAGGCTGTTTTAAACTAAAAAATAAATAAAATGTTACTAACACTAAATAATGTTTGATTATTTTAATGATGCTTTATTTCATAAAGTTTTTTCTTAGCTTTTAGTGAATGATTACAATGATAAATTATACTTATGAAATTATTTTAAAATCATTTTTAACAAAAGACACTGAAGGTAAGCCAGAGCCGTCTATCAAAAATACATAGCAAGTTACAACACTTGCAGTACTTTTGTTTAGCAAGTCACAACACTTAAAGTACTTTTGTTTAGCAAATCACAACACTTGCAGTACTCTTTTTTAGCAAGTCACAACACTTGTGCTACTTTTTTTTAGCAAATCACAACACTAGCAGTACTTTTTTTTGTTAAACAAGTCACAGTACTTGCAGTTTTTTAATCTATAAATTTCAAATTTATATATTTGCAGTGTTTTAACAAAATAATATCTAGTCAACTTTCTGGAAACAATATCTGCAACAAGCTGAAACTTTTTCATGCAATGTTCTACAGCTTTGATATCCATTTTATTAACCAACCTTTAATAATTTTTAAATCTTTCAAATAACATTTTGACTGTTTCAAACTAAAAAACAAATAAAATGTATATCTCATATAGTTTTGTCTTGGCTTTTAGTGAATGATTACAATAATAAATTTCTTTTAGCTAGTCACAACACTGGTAGTATTTTTCAGCAATTCATTTGTAGTACTTTTTTAGCTTTAATTTCAAACTTGTACTTTCACAGTGTTTTATTAATATAATATAAAATTAATAAAATTGTAACTCTTCTGAAATAACATCTGCAACAAGCTGGATCTTTTCATGCAATGGTCACCAGCTTCCATATACGTTTCATCATCTTTCCAGTAAGAAATAGTGTAAACTAAGTCATTTTTTAAACTAAATACTTTTTCTACTCTGCCATTATACAAAACAGGCTTGGATGTTTAGGATCATATCATTCATGATATAGTTTTTTGCCTAAAATTGTTTAACACATGACATCTTCTAAATTATAAAGTTATTACACATGACATCTTCTAAATTAAATATAATTTCATCATAACTCAATTTGGATAGCTAACGCTTGAACTTTTTTTGCTTTAACTTTTTTCTTTTTCATCGATTTTTTGGCACTTGGATGCCTGTCTTTGGGAAATATTGGCTCTAATTTTAGCCTGATGCAATCGATTGCTAACTCTATTTATACGCGTTACATGAACTTGCATATAATTACTTTATCTCTCAAATTAATAATATAGAAACCTTACCAGCTGCAACAGATGACAAGGATATTAAAGATTAAATAATACAATGACACAAAAGATTAAATGGTACTAATTCAACTTTTATGTATAATATATATATATATATATATATATATATATATATATATATATATATATATATATATATATATATATATATATATATATATATATATGTATATATATATATATATATATATATATATATGTATATATATATATATATATATATATATATATATATATATATATATATATATATATGTATATATATATATATATATATATATATATATATATATATATATATATATATATATATATATATATATTATACATAAAAGTTGAATAAGGTTGCTAACATATATTAGTTATATACGACCATATTATATCTGTATCAACTGTAATAAATAATATAAATACTATTTATTACAGTTGACAGATTAACAGTTAATCATTAAAAAAAAAAGTCTAGTTTTTACCTAGACTTTTTTAGAAAAAGATGCATAATACAACAAGTAGTAGCATATTGCAATTGTTATTGGAGAGACTTACAATGTAAGATAAAATATGTTATAATATTACAAATGTCAGTTACATTTTTAAAAAATTTAACTTTAAAGTAGGAAACATAACAACTTTACATTGAAGGCAAATAATTTATAAATAATTTAATAAATAGGAAACAATATTGAAAATTTTTATCAATATCTCTACTTTCCATTTTATTTAATCTAAAAAAAAAACTGAAAATTTTTTTTAAATTAAAATCAAATATAAACAATGTTTATTTAACCCCTCTGTCTCCCGCGACCACTTCAGCAAAGTGAAAATTAGGTACCAAAAGTGCGACAAAAAATAGACACCCTGCTACAACTTTTTTTTCAATGAAATTTTCCAGGTGCATAGATAAATGAAAAACTTAAAAAAAAGAATAGTATAGAAAAAAAAAAGAGCATATCTTCGACATTAATTTCATGCCCAAAGTACAACAAAGTTTTAGACATCAAAAAACTCAATAAAAAAGCCATCTAGTAAAATAATAAACCTCACAGTAATAAAGTTTAACTATTCTAGTTTCTAAAAATAATCTATATTGATATCAAATTCTAAAAAGTTTTTTAACTAAACACGTTTTCCCTACGCTAGCTAAAAAAAAATCTAAAAAGCGTGGCACAGTTTTTTAGCACAATATTCGGTTCCGTAAAACGGATATTTCCATGTACCTAATAATATATATGTATATGTATACATATATATGTATATATATATACATATATATGTATATATATACATATATATGTATATATATACATATATATGTATATATATATATACATATATATGTATAATATATATATATATATATACATATAATGTATATATATACATATATTTTATGTATATATATATACATATATATGTATATATATATATACATATAATGTATATATATATACATATATTTTATGTATATATATATATATATATATATATGTATATATATACATATATGTATACATATACATATATATGTATATATATACATATATATGTATATATACATATATATGTATATATATACATATATATATATATGTTTTTTGTTTTGTTAATCTTCTCTTTAGTTTATTGTTTCAACGCATTTTAAATGTACCTACTAAGCAAGTAGTACTTGCCTAAAAAAATTCAATGTTTTATTGTGTTACTTTTAAATTAGGTATACAGTAGGGTTGTTAACCAGAGGATTTCGTGCAATTCCGGAAAAACAACATTCTTTCGTAAGGAGATTGAGAACTAGGAATTACATTTTTTCGTACCGAATGTTACAAAACATTTAAAATCGCCGATGTTCATTTCGCAAATGCCACTTCCGAAATTTAGCATTTCGTAAGTTGACATACGAAACAAAACTATTTTGCAACATACGAAAGTAGCGGTTTTGGAAGTCGCACTTGCGAAACAAACATTTTCGCCAAACGACGTTTTGAAGTCTATAAAGAAAATTTGTTTGCCAGACTGATTTTAATTGTAAAAATTAACATCTTTAAATCCCAAAATGTTTATAATGAATTTTTATTTTCAGTATAATAACATATTAAATTTTTATGGTTTTATTTTTAGAAATATTGATAAAAAATAAAATTTCTTTCGAAACAAAAGTATTTCGGATCACAACATACGAAAGAATTCTTAACGGAAATAAACTTACGAAACGTATCATAATAAATATATATAACGATGTTTTTTGAATTCATTACGTATATTAAAAATAAGAATGATGGGTAGAAATATACATGTTTTTTTTTTTTTTTAAGCATATGAAATTTTTAAAACAGGTTCGAATATGCTTAAGCAAATAGTAAAAAGAGGCTCAAAAATATGCTTTAGCTTAAGCATATTTCTGATAAAATAAACCTATTTTAATATTTTCTAAAAGTGTGCACGTTACTAAAGTTCTAGCAGATTTTAAAGGTATGTAGAGTCTTGTTTGAATACGCTTTTCGAAGTATAGATCTTAGAAAATATTGTTTTTCAATTTTAATAAGATATAAATTTAAGTATAAGATCCTATAGTTCAATCAGTTAGATACGTGATAGTTTGCCGCAGAGATCCGGGTTCGCATCCCGCAGCCATTGTAACTTTTGTTCATCAAACTCTTTTTACTTAAGATAGCATTTTTTGACCTCCATGTTTTATATTACAGATCTTTCGTCACCTTCATAATAGTGACAACCTCTCTTCTGTTAGTTTTTCTTTTAAGATTGAGTTCATTGTGCTTAATTCTATACGTTTTCCTTGCTTTAATAAGTTCTACTTAAATTATGATGAAATGTACGTAAAACAACTTTTTCAAATAATATAAATCATTTTGCTTTAAATCTTGTGCTTTTTGTACTAGATATCTGTCCTAAACACTTTGTAATAATTTCTAGCTAACTCTGAGTCTAATATAATCATTTCTGAATATAATTTCCCTGAGGCTCCTACAGCCTATTGTGTTCCATTAAAAGTAACTAGTTTTCGAGTCCAGATATTAATTATAAGCAACTAAAGGTTCACATTACTTTACATTTTCCTGATATATAGAATCCTATTTGCATACGTATCATTTTCTGTAAATTCTGTTTTATATAGTTTCTTAATTATATAATAAATAAATAATACTATTCACTTAGTTGAATGAACGTTTAGCTCATTCAGTTAAGACATTTGGCCGCGGAGACCCAGGTTCACATCTCGCTGTTTCACATATATTTCTTCTCTTTTTACTCTTTCTGATATCATTTACCTTTAGAGAGATCTCTCGTTCTTTATAATAATGTATTAAATTGTTTATCACACATCCTCTTTATACTTTTTAAAAAGAAAGGCATACTGTTTATCTGTTCATTGAGAGTCCAACTTAACGGGATTTTACTGTATATATGTGTATATATTTATATATATATATATATATATATATATATATATATAATATATATATTATATATATATATATATATATATATATATATATATATATATGTATATATATATATATATATATATATATATATATATATATATATATATATATATATATATATATATGTATATATATATATATATATATATATATTATATATATATATATATATATATATATATATATATAATATATATATATATATATATATATATATATATATATATATATATATATATATATATATATATATATATTGATAATATCTATAATGAGGATGATTTTGAAACTAATAACCTGAGTTCAGTTACTAGTAGCTCGGAAAGTGAAGGTGATGTAGGATCAGATAGTAGCAATGAAGAAAGTTTGAGAAACGATTTGGCTGATTTGGCAGTTACAAGTAAAATGACGCATGTTCAAGTGAACGGAGTGCTTAGTGTCTTGCGGAAGCATGGTTTTGATGTTCCAAAGGACAGTCGAACTCTTGTAAAAAGCACAAGAACAATAGTTACATACAAAAAATGTGGTGGTGACTATTTGTATTTTGGGCTTCGAAAAATCATCACACAATCTTTAGAAATAGATGACAGTAATGAAATTCTGAACTTGAAAGTAAATGTGGATGGTATACCTTTGTACAAATCATCTAGCTTACAGTTTTGGCCAATATTGTGTTCGATAAATAATTCTACTCCTATGATTGCCGCTCTTTTTAGTGGAAATTCTAAACCAAACTCTGTAGATGATTTTTTGCAAGATTTTATTTATGAGGTTAAGGAACTCCAAGAGTATGGATTTAGTTATAATGAAAAAACTTATACCCTTTTATTGCAGGCATTTATATGTGATTCACCGGCTAGAGCTTTTTTAAAAAATATTAAAGGTCATAACAGTTTGCATGGGTGTGAACGATGTTGTGCAGTTGGATTGTCAGTTAATCATCGTACAATATTTGTTAACCCAGGTTGTTTTAATGCAGAAAGACGCACTGAAGATAAATTCTTCAACTTGGCATATATTAATAGTCACCAACATGGTCCAACACCATTAGTACAAATAACAAATAACTGTTTAGGCATTTTTTCTCTGGACTACATGCATTTAGTTTGTTTGGGTGTGGTTAGACGAATGCTTCAATTTTTGAAAAAAGGAGATAGAGTAGTAAGATTATGTAGCCGTCAAATTTTAAATATATCTGAAAACCTCCTTGAATTAAGAAAGTACATCCCTAGTGAGTTTGCGAGGCGTCCTCGGGGACTGATTGAATTGGATAGGTGGAAGGCTACAGAATTCCGCCAATTCTTGTTATATACAGGTCAAGTTACATTAAAAAGCATATTAAAATCAGATTTGTACAAACATTTTTTAACATTGTCTGTTGCTGTTACTATTTTGCTTTCACCTGATAAAGATAAACGAGTTCAATATCTTGAGTATGCACAAAAACTATTAGAACATTATGTTCGACACTGTCAAAAGTTTTATGGAGATAATTTTGTTGTGTATAATGTTCATAATTTACTCCACCTAGCAGATGACGTACGCTTTTTTAATTTATCGCTTGATGAAATTAGTGCTTTTTCATTTGAGAATTTTCTCCAAACACTAAAAAAGTATGTTCGGACACCAAAAAACCCACTTGTCCAAGTTGCTAAGAGGATTGAAGAATCTGAAAATATTGAACATATTCGAAAAGGTAATATTAAGTTAAAACAAAGAGAATGGAGGCTATCAACACTTCCTAGAGACTCAATAGTGTTGCTTAAAAATAACACTTATGCTCAGATTATAGAAGTTAGAACAAATGGATATTTTTGCTGCCTTTTTGACTGTTCCTATCTACAACCTTTTTTTATAGAACCATGTTCTTCAGCACTTGTAGGTATCTACTATTCAGAAAACCGCCATAAACATACCAAAACAAAACTGGTGACTAATGAGGATATTGCAAAAAAGGGGCTTAAACTGCCATGTGAAGATGGATATGTCCTTATGCCGTTTCTGCACTGTAACGAGTAGTTGTAAATTGTAGATAAAATAAATATTTATTAATTTTCCATTGGTTTTTATTGATATTCTAATAATTTTTTTTATGCTCTTTATGCTATAGTATTATTG